GCCCTGACTGCATTTCCCCTGGGAAAAGCCAGATCAGGAGCTGGAAATGAGGGACACAGCAGGCACCTGCTCCCCTGGTGTGAGCTGGTGGCTCTCCAAGCCAGTCCTGACAAGAGGTCACACCAGAGGGACAAAATCTGAGTTAGGGAGGGCAGACTCCACATCATTACAGTCTCCTCTGGCTGCACATCCCAGATTTATGTGCCCAACACTGCAATAAACTGCAGAGATGTGCCCAGTGTTCTTTTGAGAGAATACTTGGGATTTTTTTACATGTTTGAAACCCTTTTTTTTTTTTTTTTTTTTGCTAACAGAGGCAGCTACTGCTATTTTAATTCCAGATTTAGAGACCTGTGTGGCAGAACCCAAATCCTGATGATGATGATGATGATGCCGAGGAGTTGAGGGGTTACAGAGATGGCATGCAGCAGGATTTGCTTTGGGTGAAAAATGCTGGTAAACTTTCAGGCTACTCCCAGTTTTTATGGTGAACTTGTAAATCATTCAGAAACCAAGAAATGCCAGAGCTGTGCAACTCTGGTTGGATCCTTGTGCCCTGGGTCCCATCTCCCTGCAGAGGTGTTGAAACCTGGTGAGAAGGGAGTGCCAGAGCACAGGCAAGGCTGCCACCCCGTGGGGACACGGCTTGGCCAGGCAATCCCTGCCTGTCTCCAGGGCTGTCCCTCTGCCAGGAGCCAGGGGACAGCGTTCCAGAGCTGCAGGATCAGCATGGGGAGGATGCAGCATCCCTTAACTGCCCCACTCCCTTGCAGAGAGGGCTGGGCGAGCTCTGGCTGAGCAGGATGAGGAGAAGCCTCCTTATCCCCCTGCCAAGGAGGGTGACAAGCCAGCTCTGGCCCAAATGCTCAGGGACAGCTTCCTGGCTGGTGGCCTGCAGGTTGGATCCTGCCAGTTTTTGCTCCTGGGTTTTTCTTGGAGGAGGAACAGGACCCTGGCAGAGGCGCCCTGCCCAGGCAGGGCAGTGCCAAGGAGGGGAGGGGGCAGCACCAGAAGCAGCTGCTGCTGTCCCCCAGGTCACTGCCACCCCTCTGAGTCACTGGGGGCTGTGGGAAGAAGGGGAATTACTTGGAGGAGGCTGCATGTCCCTGCAGCACCATCTGCTGCCTCCTCCTGAGAGCCCTCTGATAATTCCTCTGGAGGAGAAGCTAAAGTCACTTCTGCTTTGCTGTGGGGAAGCAAGATTGCCAGTCTGGATGGAAAAGGAGGGCAGGTAATAAAAACTCACTGCAAAAAGGATGAATAGTCACCCTGAGTAGAAGCCCTGGTTAAAGGCCACGCTTCACAAACTGCCCAGACACTTGGAAAGTTCCCTGTTGCTGCCTTTTCCTCCATTATAAAACTATCAACTAATTCACAACCAAAAAAAACCCTCCAAGAAATATTGTTAGTCCTTAAAGAGTGTTATCAACACATTATTAACAGGTGAATTTGCAGAGAAAGTTGTGAAGAGCTCCTTCCTGAAACCACCATAGGTTATGAATAACAAGAATTTCTCTAAATGACAATATCAGCAAAGGGAAACAAGAATTTTTGCAGAGAAGAGGAGGAGTATCCTGGACAGATGTGACTGGGAAGACTTCTAGGTGAAAAAATTGAAATATTTTGAGCGACATACAGGCATTAGTGACACTGCTCAAGCTGTTCTGCAAATGGATGAGCCCTTTGGGGTCAGAGGGGCTCTGGGTTTGGGGACACATTCCCTGTCCCACACAAAACACCACCAGACACCCCAATGCCCTTGCACAGAGGCTTTCAGAGCTGCTTATGGGTTTAATTAGCTTATGGATTGCAAAAGGCTTTAAAATCATCCCTTCTCAGAGCAAGAAGGCAGTCATGGTCTGGTGTCCCCAAAAGTGAGGGGCAGCATGGGTCCTGAGCTGCTGCCCCACCCTGTGTGGCTCCTCAAACCTGCCCTGATTTCCTATCATAATTTCCTATCAAAACCCTCCCTTTCTGCCAGCCAGGCATAAAAAGGGGCCCACAAATGGCTCAAACATCATTTCATGGCCCTGACAGACACACACAGGCTGCTCAGGCACCTGCAGATAACATCTGCACGCAGATCACGCTCAAAATCTGTTCCCCTATTTTTACACCTCTGAGAGGTTTGAATGGGGGTCAAATGTCTGGGATTCGAATTTTTTTTTTTTTCCTCCTGGCTTTTCTGGGTTTCTGTCAGGAAGGGGAGAGATGTCAGCACATGGCAGGGAGGCACCGAGGCTCTGGCAAAAGATGCATCTGAAGGGAAAGCAGCAGAGGCTGGGGATCTGTTAGCACCAGGCAAAGAAAAGAGGCAGCTTCAGTTAAAATGCCCTTTCCATGCCTGCAGCCACAGCTCCCTCTAGGAATGGAATTGCCCTTTCCCAAATGCACTCATTCACGCCTTCCCCCTGGAGATGCAGACACAACGGGGGCTGCACAATTTGTGGTAGAAAGCTCTGAGATTGCCCAGTAATTAATCTCAGTAAAAAAAATGGTTTGAAAGAGTGTCAGACACTGAGGGGATTTATTGCTTTCTAATTACCAGACAGTAATCTCTGTCCTTTGCTTTCTCCTGCATCTGCAGCACTTTCCCCCTCCTGCAGCCTTGTCCCAGCCTCTGCCACAGGTGCTGTGATGCTGGTCCCAGTAATGATCCCTCAGGGGATGCAGGCAGGGACTGGGGTGAGCCCTGGGGCACATTCACTTTGTCTGGATAAGAGATGATGCCTCTGCTCCTTAACTCCCAGGCCTCCCTGAATTTTGGCCTAGATATGGCAGGAGCAAGTGGCTTTTAAATTTAAATAGTCTCAGAGCTTCTGTGTTTATGGCTCATATTAATATCTAAGCCCACACTGTGAGGAAAAAAAAAGAAAAAACCAACAAACAAACAACTGCATTTATTTCCTCTGTTTTTCACAGCTAATCAGCATCAAAGAGGAGAAGGTTGGTGGGCTCAGCTTTTTGGCAGAACAAAAACTGTCTGAGATGATTATACCTATGTGGCAAATTATGGGGATGTAGGGGCCTTTCCTGAACACCCTGGATATCCATCTGTGTGGAAAGCTGTTTGAGGAGAGCATGAGTGCTGAAACCTTTACTCTTGGGTATTCACACACACTGGAGCTGTGGATTTCATGTGTGGCAACTGCAGGGAGAGCTTGTACCTACACCCCACCCACCCTGCCTTCAAACAACCTTAATCATTAAGTTCAGATTAAATCTGTCATGTGGTGCCATGGGCATGAGGTTTGAAGTGCTGTTTGTACTGACCCAGTGGTCTGAAGGAATGGTGTGGTGGTCGGGCTGCTGAACTTTGTTCTTGCTCTGATCCTTTTGTCTTGGGTTTCTGTGGTTGAGATGACCCCGAGGTATTAGAAAGGGTTTTTTTTCCCAGCCCCATGACTGAAGAAGAAGTTGAGATTCATCAGTTCTGCTCTTCAGTGTTGTTTATTTTCTCTTATCTATCACATTCTTTCTCTGACCTGCTGAGGTCTGTCCAGCAGGTCAGGTTGTGGCACAGTCCTTGCCTTTTGGGGTGGTGTTAACTTTTTATACTAAGAACTACGTGTACTTTATTTAAAATAATTTTCCAATACCTATCACCTATGTTAGACAGTCTGTCTCTACTCTAAACCAATCCAAAAGTGCCACCATCACAGCAGAAGATGGAGGACAAAAAGAAGGAGAAGAACAGGACATGCCCAGATTCCTCCATCTTGCCTCTTGAACCCCATTCTAAAACCCCAAAATTCTACTTTTTCACCCTGTGACAAATTCACTATCATTCTACTCAAACTCTTGTGGCTTGTAAATCTTCACACAAAGTTGGTAATTGTTTCCATGGGCTGAAATCAAAGGCACAGGTGTTTTTGACTCTGTTCCAGGGTCTCTGAGCCCCCTGTCAGGGTCTCGAATCACCCAGGGCAGCCAGAGGAATGTCCTGGGTCCCAACACTTTTGGTTTTGTTTGCATGAGGGGTAACGGGAGCACGAAAGAAAGGCTGAGCCACCCTCACAAAAAGTACTTCCAGCAGTGGAAAGCACATCCTCCAAGTGGTGCTGGGCACCACAGTGACCTTCAGGAGCCTCCCAAAGGAACAAATGAAACCCCCAACGCCGGTTGCATGTTTCCTATATCACTTTATTGACCGCCACTGACCACGTTCTCAGGTTGAGCGCCAGATACCAGCAGGAGAGGTGGGGCTACCCTAGAGTTACAGGAGAGCAAGGGAGACAGTGTGTCACACACAGGCTGGGGAGAGCTGGCTGGGGATGGGAAGCCTCTGCACAGTGGTGAGCCCCCCTCTCTCCCCCCTGAGGGCCTACAAAGACAGTGGAAAGACGTGCTTGTCCTCCTGTCAGTTGTCCCAGAGGGAAATGACAGGGCAGAGGTGTGAACAGAGACACTTAAACACTTTGCTGAAAGAAAAAAAAAATACACGTTGCAACCCCCAGAAGGTGAGATGTTATTGGTAATTATTATTATTATTGTTGTTATTATTTCTCCTGCGGTTGCAAGGAACTCATGGCAGGTTTGGGGTCTTGAGTGTGGGGCTTGGCTCTATTGCTGTTTGAGAGTAACCAGTTGTGGGGTACAGCAACTCTGCAGGGCTTTTCCCCTGTCCCAAGCCTTGCCTCGAGGCTTGGTGCACCAGCAGCCAGCATAACTCTTGCACTCCTTCCTGCCTGATGGTGGAAATGGGCTACAGCACCAGACAAAGACCCTTTCAGCAAGTACAGCAGCATGGCAGCACTGCCATCCACGCCATCCCCACCAGGTTTAAGCTTCCAAGTCCACCAGCCGCTCACCCAGCCCCCCGTTCCACCCGAGGGAAGAGGGGGAAAACAAAAAAAAAGAAAACAAAAAAGAGGAGGAAACAAAGTGGGGGAGGAACCAAGAGAAGAAACCCCTCTAGACATTCACTGATATCTACGCCAGGGCTCTGGGAGCGGGACCTGCAGGTGGTGGCAGCCTGCCCAGCGTGGCGGCCGCCGGGCTCAGGAGGAGGGCGCCGAGCTGGGCTTCTCCTCCCGGGACACGGGGATGGGCCTCTCGCTGTGGCTGGCGTCCATGTTGGAGGGGACCTTGGGGCCCGAGAAGGTCAGCATGCCATCGTTGGACAGCGAGCAGGTGATGGCAGCCTGGTCCACGTTGGCGGGCAGGCGGTACCGGCGGTGGAATTCCCGGGAGATGTAGCCGTGGTCGTCCTGAGAGGCAGTGGGGAAAGCGGGGGGGAAGGTGTGTCAGAAACTCCCTGTGCCCCCCTTTGTCCAGCCCCTTCAGGGCAGGAGATCCACAAGCACCCCGGCTTATTGTGACACTGCACTGCCAAGACTGCCAGGCACACCTGTGCTGGGGTTAATTTTACAGGTTTGACCCCCTGACACCTGTGAAGCTGCAAGAGCTGAGCACAGCAGCAGGGAGTGATTTTGGCCATAGGTTTGATCCCAGGTTTGATCTGATTTGGGCTTCTGATTTCAAAGGATGCTTGGAGACAGAATCTGGAGGCCTGGGAAGGTAAAGGCAAGGCAGGCATGTGCACGCATGTATTTATTTATCAGGCTGAAATGCTGTGTCAGCCAAAGTACACAATCCTGGCCCCCTTCTTTTTTTGGCCAGAAGAATGAGAAGTGCAATTATTTTTTTAAAGTTGGCCATGAGAATAATAACTATATTTAAAAATACATACTGTTTCCAGGCTAGAGCCTTGTCTGGCCAAAAATGTGTATGAGAAGAATTAAACCCCTGCTGGTATAATTCACTTTTCGACCCCCACAGATATTTCCATGACATCCGTGTTAAAAGTTTCCAAGCCTGAGGCACTTGGTTGGTTTTCTTTTGTTTTGTTTGCTCTTGCTTTTCTCTCCCAGACTGGCATATAAAAACTCTGTTTTCACTAAGGATTCTGGCTTATGAAAACTCAGCCATGCTTCAGCAGTGCCAGATGATGTTCTGTGTCTGGCCCAGTGTTATTAGTGAACAATGGACATGGTCATCTGATGGTTATGGAAGATGATGATTGAAAATAAACAAAAGAGGGGTGGATTAGCTTGTTATTGTCAGATATCAGGTGGGGCTCTATGGAAACAGCCCATGCCAATAATGACAATTCATCATTAACTCTTTCTTCTGATATATTAATTTTTTTTTCCTTCAGCTGAGAACCGTTGGAAAGAAGGAAAACAGAGCTGGACTCCCAGCTGCTCCACCATCACCATCACTTCCACTTACCTGCCTTTCACTGTGCTTGCCATGGATTTCCACAAAGTCATCAATAATCTTCACGCTCAAGTCTTCGGGAGAGAAGTGTTTTACATCCAGCATGATTGTGAACTTGTCCCGATCAGACCTCACCTGAAATGAGCATTGTCACACAGTGAGGCCCCAGCTCTGGCTGTGGGGCACTGCCAACATCACCACAGGTCAAAGGACAAAAAAGGGGCGGTCTGGCACTTTGTCCTTCTGTGACTATGGGCCTCAGTGGGGGTTTTCTTCCCATCGTGGGGAGCCAGGGACAATGAGAGAGGCTGTGGGAGGTGTCAGGGTCACAGGGAGGCCATGGTTGGTGTCAGGGTCGCTGGGAGGCCATGGCTGGTGTCTGAACCTTGGCTACTGCTCTGGGGAGAGGTGTTATTATCCTTGCTGCTATTCTTGTGCCAGGGACCCTTTAGCACTCAGTGACCTGCCAGATGGACCAGGCACAGAATGGGGATGGAAACCGGTGTAAGACTCTCTGGGAGCACATGTTTTGTCCTTTCAGTGATTTATGGTTTCGTTGTGGTCGTAGCTCTGGGAGGAAAGCAGTAAGAGAGGGCTACAGAAGGCACCTGGACCTGAATTTTGGATCACGGCCCCAACAGCTACACATTCCCCTACAGTTCCCTTCAGAAAATTGCTCTGGAGTCCTTCAGTGAGGGATTGCAAAAACCAACAAGCTCCCAAGGTGGAGGAGAAGGTGGGGAAAGCTCCCACTTGCACTCCCAGGGTGAGCTGCCCTCACAGGCACTTACTCTGGGAGCAGCCTTGCTCTTCTTTGCTACACAGGTGGTGGGGCACAGAGCAACAAAAACAGCCTTCTTGTGTTGGAAACAACCCTCAAAAGGAGCCAAAATGGTTCCTGTTTCTCAAAGGGAAGCTTTGTCCCCAACAATGGGGGCAAAGCCATGGGGGTTTTCCTTTGTGCCCATCAAGGGCTGGGTGGGCTGTGCCTGGCAGTGGCTTTGGGGTCTTCCTCATCCCCTCACATGGGGCTAGAGCAGTGTGAGATGTGGGTGGAGAGGAGCAGCTGGAGGCACAAGGAGGGAGAGGAAGGAAAGGAGAGGAAATCAAAGGGCCCTTACCTCTGAAATGCCCGACTCCAGCACGCTGCGGAAGAGGGACTGCCTGTAGTAGGGGCTGATAGTGGACGAGAACAGAGGCAGGAGGTCATACTCAAGGAGACCCTCTCCAAAAAACTGGTCAAACAAACGGCTTGGAATGAGGGGTCCCAGAGCACGCTTGAACCAGGGGTGCTGGATGGTAATGTCCATGCTGCTGCTGCTGCTGCTGCTGCTGCTGCTGCTGCTGCTGCTGCTGCTGCTGCTGCTGAGACCTGTGGCTGCAAGGGGAGAGCAGAAGGGGCAGCGCCGCTGCTGGGGAGACGGCGAAGCCTTGGCTGGAGTGCAGCCCCAGGGAAGCTCCCCCTATATATACCGGCCTGGCAGAATGAAGGCATTAGCAGGATTCCTCTGGAAAGACATGATCTCATGATGGAGGCAACGTGGTCAGCAGAAATGCGGAGACTGACCTGGAAATGACAGTCTGGTTGGAATCGGTGCCAGATGTCCTGGAGGGATGATGCCAGGGCAGCAGGCTGCGAGGCACGGGGTGCCCAGGGGTGCTGGCATGTCCCCTGTGGAATCAAGCAGGCTGAGCAGGACACCCCGGTGGGCAACTCAAAGATGCTTCTGAAAGAGATCTGCTCCATGGGTCTTCATAACCTGACCCTGGGTTTCATTAAATTGCTTCTTTTCTGCCCCTCCTTTGAAGAAGAAACTCAATATTTCTTCCAAAGAAATGCAACAGCTTTCTTCCAAGCAAGGAAAAAGGGTCAGATTCAGGTTGAAGAAGGGGAAACTTTTTTGTAACGCACTACAAAGTGCCTCTGCCACTCAAGAGGGGCCTGACACCCCTGGCACAGGGATCATGGCATGACTGGCAGGGAAGCAGGGCTAACAGATGATGCAGAGCACCATTTTTTGTCTGACAAAACAAAAACTTTCAACAAGAAATACTTTTGCAAAAGAAAGAAAGAAAAATAAGCTTGGTCTCCCACCGTAACATCGGTCCCAAAGCTCTTGAGAGTGTCCTTGTTTTGATTTAGGAGTGATGTGGGAGATCCATTTATCTCATGGTGTCACAGCACAGATCCTGCTTAACGTGCATTTCTGGTTACAGCTGTTTTTCATTTCTGTTTCCCTCAAAGCCTCCTTTAAGGGCTCAGCTGGCACCCTGGGCTGCCGGGCAATGGGCACCGTGCCCGCCGCCAGAGCCGCAGGCTCTGCCAGAGAGCTGAGGTGGCCGGGCTCTGAAAGGGCAGCCAGGCTGCCCAGCTCCACAGCAGGGCTCACAGCCTGTGGCCACAGCTGAAACCCCATTTCCATCCCCTCCAGAGATGCAGGGGTTGCATTCCAGGAGCCTCTGAGCAGCAGAAGCACCGGTGTTGGGGGTTGTGTGCATCTCAGCGCCTTTTTGCAGTCGGCAGAGAACAAAAGGGAAAGAGGAGAGGGCACTTCCAAAAGGCACTTCAGATACGAGGGGCTGAATCATCCTCTCATACTGTCAGGGACTAAAGAAACCGAGGGTGGCTGAGATCCTGCCCTCTTCTTTGGGAGCAACCAGATCATTCCAGGCCAGAGGAGCTGAACTGAGAAAAGCACTGAGGCTTTTCTATCACTGAGTGATATCCAGCTGGGAATCACCTGGCATCCAGGCATCGTGCAGGCTTGGAAAATCCTTGGCCTTGGAGGAATTGTAGGAACCAGGAGATCCTTTACAGAGGCTTTCCTTCATGAAAAGCAAAACTTTGAGCAGAAAAACACCCAAACCACAGTAAGGACTGCTAAGAAGACAGACAAGAGCTCAGGTTCCACCTCATGTAGCTCCAGCAAGAAAAGGCCCTGTGGGGGCCTTGGCTCTCAGGCATGAAGGATTTTCTAAAATCAGGTGTCAAAAAGAGATCAATCCCTCCTCAAGCCATGGAGGGAAAAACCACAAGAGAGAGACCTAACCCCTCATTTATTCCCATTGTACCAAATTTGTCATTTTGTTTGAGGAATTGAGGGGAAGCAAACGAGTCATTAAGCACTGCCAAGATTTTTTTCTTCAAGAACTCTGTGAGATTTGTCCTGGCAGTGGAAAAAAAAAAAATCTCTCCTCAGCCAGCCAGTTCCAAAGACCTGCTAACCTGTATTTATCCAACACTGGCAGCAGTGACCTGATGCAGAATGCATCACCTGATGTGCAAGGTAAGGGGAAAAATGAGAGCAGAGACACAGGAACAAGTTCAAATCCCAAAGCACTCAGTGGAACACACAAAGCAAGTTATTTATTTGGCTGGTAGAGGAACTGTGGGAACTGTGCTCACACAGAAAATGAGATTTTGGGGTCTGACAGACCATTTGGGCCCCAGGTGAGGGGGTGAGTGGTGAATGCCATCCCTAAAGTGTGCTGGGAGCATCCTCTCTGTGTTTCCCAAATCAGAGGGTATGGAGGGAGCACAGGGAGCAATGCACACAATGGCAGGATCCCCTCTGGACATCCTTCAGTCCTCACAAAACTGCCAAACCCTTGAGCCCTGACCTCCAGGGTGTTCCCCAGATTATTCCCTGGATTATTGAGGCCAGGAGGAAGGAGGGAGCCCAGGCTGCTCTAAACCAAATCCAACTAGGCCTTGAACACTTCCAGGGATGGGGCAGCCACAGCTTCTCCGGGCAACCTGTGCCAGTGGGCAACATACAGGGAACCAGAGGCCTCTGTAAGTCCAGAGAGATGAAAGGAATTGGCTCGTTAGAGAAAAATGAGAAATACGTCTTCAAGTGAATTTTATCTGAGTTTATGTATATTACCACACACTCAAATAATTGAAAAGCATCAGCCAGCTTTGTGGTTTTATGTCTTTATTTTCTTCTGGACCTACATTTTCATGGCTTTCCCTAGAATTAATCACATCCATCTGTCTTAGGCAGACATTTTTGTCTTTTGTGGGCAAAAATATTTCACTGAAATGTAAATTTCATTTACAGGTTTTTTTTTCTGATGCAGGCTTCACACTGCCTGTATGTCTCTGGGGAAAAAACCAATCTCCTGAGATGCATCACATGTGACTTCCAATAGTCTAAAGCTTCTGTGTCCTGTTCAGATGAGCTGTCCATGCTGCCTGTGCAGTCAGTGGAGGGACAGATGCCTCCAGGTCACATCATCATGTGGGTGGGCAGGAAAGGTGAAATGAGACCCCTTCAGCAGTGTCTGTGTCTCAGGAGGGAGCTGAGGAGGCAATTCTAATTCTAATCTCCTTCTGGACAGGCAAAGCTGCTGAGATGGATCCCATCCAGTGGGAATTTGGTATGAGAAGAGAAAGTGATCATTTTGCATCAGTTCAGCAGACCAGACCTCACAAGACACGCAACATTTGAGCATCATTATCACCTGCTGATCAACAGCAGTGAGATTTGTTGGCTGAAATTGAATGGAAGAAAATTAATGCATCTGGTCATGAGCACATCCCAGAGCAATGCATCAAAGGCAGTTTTTTTTCCCAAAGATTTATTGCAAGTTTAGAACACGAGTCAAACTGAGAAATTCCTCCAGAATGTTCTGCTGTCCAGCTTACCTTTGAAATAATCCCTTCCTAAACCATGATGTGTAATTGCCAGCATGTAAGTGACACATTTAGCAAAGGATAAACTGAAGAAACCCCAGACCCAGTTCCTGAGTAAGGCTGCCATCAGCAATCCCAGCCCTTGCCTGTGTTTATCTGATCTCAGTTTGTCTCCATGACTGACTCCCACCTCCCATTTCCAGATGAGCCCAGGGCTGTTTCCACCCCCCTTGCCAAGCTCTGTGCAAGCCCAGGATGAAGAAAAAAGCAAATTTGGAAGTGGAGCAGTCCCTGGTCAGGTGAGGTGACTGGTCAGCAGTGACTGGGGAGGATTTGTAGGAGATTCTGAAGTGCTGACAGAATGGGGGTTCCTGCTCCCAGCTGGTTTGCTGCAGCCAAGAAAGTCAGACTCTGCTCTGATCTGCATTTCTGCTCAAGTCAGATGTACCCTGTTGTCGCTGTCATATTTTCTGAAAAATCCCTTCACCAGGATTTTTTCTCCTGGGAAGCTGAGAAGCCTCAGAGAATTATGTGATTGCTTCTCCTGTGTTTGGCTGCTTTGGAATGTGGCTGGAGATGGTTTACCCAACAGGTCATTGTTTGATTGGTTCCATGTGAATTGTTTTTTACTTAATGACCAATCACCATCAGCTGTGTCAGACTCTGAGGATTCAGTCACAGTTTTTAATTAGTATCTTTTTAAGCCTTCTGTCTGTATCCTTTCTCTATTCTTTAGTATAGTTTTAGTATAGTATTCTTCAATATAATATAAGTACATAATAAATTCATTAAATCAAATTCATTCATTAATTTAATATATGTACATAATAAATAAGTACATAAAGCCTTCTAAGAACAGGGAGTCAGATTCTCAATTCTTCCTTCATCCTGGGGACCCAGCAAATACCACACCCTGTCACCCTGCAGAGGATGCAACTCTTGAGATAGTTCTCATGGAAAACAGGAATGCATCCCAGTGCTTTTTCTTTCAAATACACATATCTACCCCCAAAATACAACTATACTCATTTGAAAGGTCCTCTGTGTTTAGGTGTCAGCTGTTTAGTGATGATATAAGGGATTGAGCAATCTCTGGCAATATTTAATGATACAATTGTTGCAGCATGCCAGTCAGACTGTTTCCACTTCACATAAATCTATGAGTTACAAAAACAAGATCGTGAGAGGGACACAAAGCTAGAGTAAATAATAATGTGATTTTTTTTTTGCATGTTTTCTTCCTGCCACTCTTGCTGCGGTGGAAAATACCACTTAATGTGTGTAAGAAAGCTGGTGAGTGGAAAAAAGGAACAAAAGACCGTGTTTTTCTTAATCTTGCATAGGCCAAGCTCTGGAAAGGATGCAAGAAGTCAGTATGAAGTCATAGAAGTCAGAATGCAAACAGTCAAGCACAAAGGGCAGGCTCACTCCTGGTTATCAGTTTTGGCTGCTAAGCACTTACTAAAAGCTTTTCCTAGAAATGACCACAGAGCATTTGTTTCTTTCTTTTTAAGGGAAGAGCCCCTTTTTTTATAAGGCTCATTTCCTGTTCCTCATGGCCAGGAGCTTCAAAACTTTCCACCACGGTGGACCTGGGATGCTGATGGAGGAAGGAGCAGGTGATTATAACAGCAGTGAGAGTCATTGCTCTCCCCACCAGACACAATGGAAAGCAGGACA